CACACACACACACACACACACACAGAGCATGTTGTAGCACCCATTTCTTCTTACTCACTGTTTCTTATTTATTGGCGGCGGCTCATTTTGTCCTTGTGCTCGAGTGCTCATGACCGTCAGATGAGCAGGAGAGCCTGTGTCTCGCTGTCTGTCGTTCAGCTCTCATCCTGCATCTGCTTATGCTCACGGAGGAAACAATCACATGCTGCAGTGAAAGCCTTGTGTCTCTATTATAGTATGTAACTCCATTATCGTCCAGCTCTAATCTGCTAAAAGCGACTATATGGCATGATGATATTAAGATACTATGAACATTTTATCATGATTTAAGCTGCTTTGAAATGATGTGTATTGTGAAAAGCGCTTTATAAATACAGTTAGAGTTGACTTCATAATGTTGAATCACCATAAGAAATAAAATTACATGAAAATGGATAACAGAATTTGATTTGGCATAAATGATGCGGTCACTAAGTTAAGGACAGAATTGTGGCTTATTTATTAATGCGCTAAATTTCTCCCACAAATATTTTTTCTTACAATAACTTTGGCTTTTCATCATCTGTGTTGCCCTGGTAACTTAGCATCTGTGCGGTCGTGGTAACTCGGCATCTGTGTTGCCCTGGTAATACAGCATCTGTGTTACCCAGGTTACTCGGCTTCTGTGTTGCCTTGGTAACTCGGCTTCTGTGTTGCCTTGGTAACTCGGCATCTGTGTTGCCCTGGTAACTCGGCATCTGTGCTGTCGTGGTAACTCGGCATCTGTGCTGTCGTGGTAACTCGGCATCTGTGCTGTCGTGGTAACTCGGCATCTGTGCTGTCGTGGTAACTCGGCATCTGTGCTGTCGTGGTAACTCGGCATCTGTGCTGTCGTGGTAACTCGGCATCTGTGCTGTCGTGGTAACTCGGCATCTGGGTTGCCCTGGTAACTCGGCATCTGGGTTGCCCTGGTAACTCTGCATCTGGGTTGCCCTGGTAACTCAGCATCTGGGTTTCCCTGGTAACTCTGCATCTGTGCTGTCGTGGTAACTCAGCATCTGGGTTGCCCTGGTAACTCTGCATCTGTGCTGTCGTGGTAACTCAGCATCTGGGTTGCCCTGGTAACTCTGCATCTGTGCTGTCGTGGTAACTCAGCATCTGTGTTGCCCTGTTAACTCTGCATCTGTGCTGTCGTGGTAACTCAGCATCTGGGTTGCCCTGGTAACTCTGCATCTGTGCTGTCGTGGTAACTCAGCATCTGTGTTGCCCTGTTAACTCTGCATCTGTGCTGTCGTGGTAACTCAGCATCTGGGTTGCCCTGGTAACTCTGCATCTGTGCTGTTGTGGTAACTTAGCATCTGGGTTGCCCTGGTAACTCTGCATCTGTGCTGTTGTGGTAACTTAGCATCTGTGTTGTCGTGGTAACTCAGCATCTGGGTTGCCCTGGTGACTCAGCATCTGTGCTGTCCTGGTAACTCAGCATCTGTGTGTCAGATGCTGATTCTCTTTCTCTTTGTGTGTGTGTCAGGATCTGAAGAAGGTGCTGTCGTTCCCTCCGTATCCGGGAGAGTTCCTGCATCCGGTGGTGTACGCCTGCACAGCCGTCATGCTGCTCTGCCTGTTTGCCTCCATCATCACCTACATAGTGCACCACAGGTAGGGCGCGCGCACACATAAACACCACTAACACAGTGTCCCTTAATTCATGACTTGTTTTTATCTACAATAATCAAGGCGTTTGAATTTAAGATGGACAAAACCTGCTCATGTAACCTTTAAATCATCAGATCAACCGCTGAAATGTTTCCTCGGCTTCTGAAGGTCAATCAGAAATGTTTATATTGCTTGTTTTTAGTTTGACTTAGTTTTATTTCTTTGTTTACTTCAGTGTTATTTTAGTATCCCTGAGATACTATTATAATATTATTTATGGATATTTTTTTATTAACGTTTATTTTCAAATTGAAAATGTTTATTTTAAATTGAAATAATATTTCACAATATTACTGATTTTTACTGTATTATTGATCAAATAGATAGTCTTTGACTTTCAAAAATTACAAAATATTACTGACCCCAAACTTTTGAAAAGTATTGAATTAGTTTTAGTTTTGAATTAATTTGTTTATTCATTTTTTGTTTTGTCGTTTTATTATTATTATTATTGTTTCCATTTGATTTCAGTTATACTTTGTTAGTACATCAAGTTAAACTAAATGAAAATGATAAATATTGCCTTGGCAACTAGCTAAAATAAAAATTATGTTTTTACTGTATACTTTTTTTATGTTGTCAATTTCATTTTATTTTTAGTTATAGTATTTTTTTGTGTTTGTCATAATTTTTTATTATTTTCATTTAATATGTCTAATATGATGTTTTAGTTTTTATTTCAGTTTTAGCTATTTTAGTACATCAAAAAATAAATGAAAGATAGTTAAATAAATAAATCAATTAATTAATTAATTAATAAAAAAATTCCCTTTGCTGTTAGCTAAATAAATAAATAATTGGTTTTAATACTAAATAATTAATTAATAAATATGTTTTAAATAAATAATAAATAGGTGTTGCCTTATTTCAGTTGTTAATTTACGTGAAAAAA